GGAGAGGAGGTGGGAAAGAGGGATGGTGCCGCGGCGGCTAGGGTTCGCCCTGTCGCCCGCCACATGCACCTTTCTACACCGTCAACATGCCCGTTGTGCGGAGTGGAAGAGGAAAGCACATCACATGTGTTGATTTCATGCATGCATGCACGAGTTCTCATGCAAGACATGGCGTTGTCGATTCAACACTCTAATCTTCCAGTGGTATTGCTGTCGAATTCTTCAGAAGTTCTGTCAAATCTGTCAAATGATGCTTTGGTTCGTTCGGCGCATAGCCAGTTAGTTATAGAGATTAAGGATCTTGCTGGTAATAGGGAGTTTTATCCTCAGAAAACTAGTCGTACTCAAAATAGAGTTGCCGATCGGTTGGCTAATTATAGCCGATCTGAGTGAGCTACCACCGTGTGGTTGAGCTTGGTTTCACCATGTATTGAGCACTTGTAGCCTCTGGACTGTAACTCTATGAACATGCAATAAAAACTCCATTTACCCTGGAAAAAAAAAGCAAACTCAAAAAATAATACTCCCTCCGTTCACTTTTGTAAGACGTTTTAGACATTTAAGACAACACCTAAAACAGTTCAATTTTAGCTGTCTTAGACGACTTACAAAAGTGAACAGAGGGAGTAATTTCCAACGATCAATCAATTTTCCGACAAGCAAAGGGTCGGGAAGTGATCTCCTGGGCCAGATCCGGACAGCTCCGCCTACCGGGTCTGGATCGAGTTTTTTCCGGCCCGCTAACCACTGTCTTCCCCAACCCGGCATCCGTTTCCCCTCGCGAGAGCTCGAGACACCCCCCATGTCGCGGTAGGAAGACCGTCCGAACCCTAACCCTAGCTCCATCCACCGGCGTCCCCGTCCTCCTCCGGCCATCCTCCATGGACGCGAAGGACATCCTCGGGCTCCAGAAGACCTCCTTCCCGTCCGCCCAGGAGAAGAAGTCGCGGCCGCCCAAGGAGCCGCAGCGCAAGCCCGATGGCGTCTCGCGCGAGGTACCGCCCTTCGTCTCCCTCCCCGCTCTCCGCCGCGCGTTTGGTTGTTCTTCCGATGCTAATGCCTGTTGCGCGGATCTAGGTGTACGCGCTCACCGGAGGGGTCGGAATGGCGCCGCTCATGCCGACCATCGAGGCCTCGCACCTGAAGCGCCGGCCTGCTGTCGAGAAGGAGAAGGTGGGCGAGCAACTCTTCGGGCTTCAGCTACCTGTTGAAATTTCTGGTTACTGCTGTAGCATTTGAACTCAGATTTCCATACATTACTATTTGTGCATTTGAGAAACTTGGCATCCAGAGTGTGTCATTACCTGCGGAGTTGAACTAGGAGTACATGCGAAATGTTAACTGATTCAATGTACAATTAATTGCTGTTTTGAGTTGGCGGTCAAACCAGCACTTTGCTATCGGACTATATTGCATCGGGTGCATTGTATTTGTATCATCTGGATGGTCGCCAGCAAAGGCTTTTCGTGCCACCCAATCGTAGAAATATAATGCATATGACATGCACCACCACTTGATGAAGCATTTTGATCTCAAACTGGGTATTTCTTGTGTAATTACTCTATGAACCACAGCCTGACTTCTGTTTTTGTAGAACTGCCGACCTTCTGTGTTGCTTTCATCTATGCTAGTGATCTAAATTTGTGCAGTTAGTGTTATTAAATAGTTGTGTAAGGGTAAGTCTAGTATCATGTAGCAGGATAATTCAACTTGTTTTGAACTTCAGAATGCACAACATGACTAGTCTTATATGCTGTCCTTTCTTATTTTAGCTTAGAATTTGTTTCCTGTTGATTGTTCCTTTAATTCAGATCATTAAAATGTTATGTGCTCTGGTCAGCAACTTTATATCGTTATCACTGCATGGGACACCGTAATAGTTTCTGCAAACCTAGTTCTAATGATACTATTGGCTTTATGCATAACATGAATTCCAAGCATGAAGTGTCCAGTTCGTCACTTGTATCTGTAGAATGCTGTTGGGACCAATGGACTGCTGTATGTGGTTTAACTTGAGAATATCAATTACTTGCGCAGGTAGCATGGCAGTGGCTACCTTTCACGTCATCTGCACGAACTGACAATCTGCAACTTTACCACTGGGTCTGTCTTGGACGCTTCACTAATGTTGTGTACATCTTAAAACATTTAGTATGACCAACTTGCTGACTCACAGTATTTCTGACCCTTTTGTTTCAGGTTAGAGTTGTAAATAATGTTCCACCAACTGGTGATTATGACTTTGCAAAATATAACACGGTGAGTATATTGTGTTAGTTACATCATCAAGCAAGAAATGTTCTCTTACAATATTGTGGGCTTACTTTTTTGTTTGTCGCTTTCTTTTGCAGAAGGTGGATGTTCTTAAATACACCGATGAGGAGTACGAGAAATATTTAACTGAACCTGTAGGTACTGTTTACTGTAAAATTATGTAAGCTCGGTTGTTAATTCTCACTTTTATTTTTACAATCGGAACATTGTGCTGATTTGCGCCGAGCTTTTAGTGTCACTTAATGCTTATAAACAATTATTGCCAGTACGAGATGTAATTCTGTTTAGTTCAAAGATTTGAAACAACTTGAAACTTTTCTATTTGCCGTTGAAACTTTTGTGGTCAGCTATTTGAAGGTGCCAGTAAACAAGTCTTAATTAGTGGGGCATGGCCTCTTGGTGCTTATCAGTTCTAACTTATAATATCTTTTGAGCTCTTGGATGGAATAATCAGAGTGTTGGGCAGCTTTAAAATTGCTCAATTATGTTTTGCCCTGACCTGTGTATGTTATCGAGTTATCAGTCTGCCTTAACATAACAATTTCAGGAGCATGTGTTACTGTTTGTCCATTTGCAGTCATTTCTGGCATAGACAAACCTTTTGATCATTTAGGGTGTTGCATTCAGTTTCCATAGTACGTTTTTGTTCATAATTTGTTGTTTTTAAGTAGAACGTTTGATGTGCTTGTTTCAGACATGGAGCAGAGAAGAAACAGACCAGCTATTTGAATTATGTCAGCGCTTTGACCTTCGTTTCATAGTAATAGCAGATAGGTTTCCAACTGCTCGCAGCGTGGAAGATCTAAAGAGCCGTTATTATTCAGGTACTTCTAAATTTGTACATCTTTATGTTCAGATAAAACACACCTGGCAAAGGTCTCCGATTCCTACTTTAATGTTTATACATGCATATTACATGCTCAAAAGCAAACAACACTGAGTTACTTAGGATTGTTCAATCTGTTTTGCCATTCAATATATGGAACAATCGAATAACTAGTTGTCTAGTTTATATAATAGATCCTTTAAACAATATGCTCTTGTAACTTCTGACCTTTTTCCGCTAAATTAGTGTATAAAGGTTGTTAATCATTCGCTGGCATTTGGCCTGTTATGCATCCACACTCCTATGTGTGCATGTCTTTCTTTCTATGTCCCTCCATCCCAAAAAAAAGTGTCGCTGATTTAGTACAACTTTGTACTAAATTTGTACCTAAACCAGCGACACTTATTTTGGGACGGAGGGAGTATGTATAACATTATTATGAGAGGTCAAGTGCTGTCATGACTTTTTATTTAGCATATATAACTAAAAAGGGCAGCCCGGTGCATGTAGCTCCCGCTTGCGCAGGGTCGGGAAAGGGTCCTACATGTAATTATTAATTAGTAAAGCTAGCATGTATGATCAGTCTAATTGTATCTCCAGCAATTCAATCTATGTATTGTTGTGAGTTTACTGTGATGTAGCTATTGTGTCTTCTTGATCACAGTTACTAGGGCCCTTCTAATTGCAAGAGCTCGATCATTCGATGAAGTTGCTGGAAACCCTCTTGTGAAGGTATAAGTTGATTCTCTTCCCTACCTAAAAGTAATTACATCAATGTTATTGTATAGATTTTGCTGTACCCACATATGTTCAATTGTGTTTCTTAGGAAACCTTCAATGCTGCTCATGAGACCGAGAGAAAACGTGCATTGTCTGCACTCTTCTCCCAAACAAAACAGCAAGAACGAAAGGATGCCGAGGTTAGAAATCTCCTGCAATGATATTGTGATTATTTGATTTATGATGTCTGCCATCCTCAAGATTCCAAGTCACGTATGTGATACCCAACTGTTCCCTTTTCAGGTTTTAGCAGAAGCAAAACGCATTATGGAATCTCGTGCTGCTAATAAAGTGAGTAAATCAGTACATTGGATTCCATATTTCTTATCATTAAAGTAATCTTCTTAACTCTTGAGCAAGAACATTTGAATGGTAACTTGTAGGATATTTTCAGTGTATAAAATCACTAATGGCAAATCTTTCAGATATTCATAATTTCGTCAAGCAGGTGGCATTTTAACCTTTTGATGTTCCAGGTCGTGTGGAAGTGTGGACGTGATATCATTGCTTACTGACTAACCTCGATATTTTGTGATAGTTAATTCTTAAGAGATTAGGTTGTTTGCTCTGTCTGGTTAATGGTTCAAGATTTGTATGCAGAATGTGGAAGAAGCCGGAGCACCGACGAGCATCCCTAATGCTGCGGTTCCTGCTGACGGTGTATCTCCCTTGAGCAACAATCTTCCATCTTCAGCTGCTACACATCCAGCTGCAGCAGCGAATACCTCCATACCTGATACACTGCGGATGGTAACTCTGAAACTTTTGGTTGCTTAAGCAGTTTCTTTTGATTTGTATATTTAGCTGTTGCGCTGACATTTGTAGTTGCAGTTGGTTTGCAGTTGGTATCTTCTTTAATTTCAAATTATGTTTTCTTATGTCTTGCTTATATCATGCTGGATTTGTGGGATCTAAGTGATCTCTAATTGTGTTTTCTGGTCATTACATTAAAAAATGTATGCCCGCTTTCATAGTTGAGCTTTGTTTGTTGCAAGGGAAAGTGTTGTTCTTTCACTGTGTAAACACATCACAAGTACAACCTCCGTCCGGAATTAACTGTCGCTGAAATGAGTGTATCTAGACATGTTTTAGTGTGTAGATACACTCATTTCAGTGACAGTTAATTCCGGACGGAGGGAGTAGTCTAGGTTAATTATGCCATGTTGTCTTGCTATCTTGTTGAATGAAAGTGTCTATTGACCAAATGAAGAATGATATCTATCTGCATACTTTTCTTTTTAGATGAATTTGACTAACTTTACCTACTCTTTCAGCTTAAAGTGTATTTGAGAACCCATGCACTTGATCAAATGGTTCAAGCAGTAACTGCTTCAGCTGGCATTAGAATGATTAAAAGGGTGGATCAAACTCTACAAGATCTTGGGGTTTGTTTTCTTGACACCAGCCTGCCCTTGACATGCACCAACACATTAGGCTTCAATTGTGTTTTAGGTCTAATTACCAAGTTTTGCAATGAACTTATGCTGCGACTGTAACCTTTTTGTAGGTAAATTTGAAGCCTAAGGTCCCAACAAAAGCAGTTTGTGCCGAACATCTTGAGTTACGGAATGAGATACTCACACTGCTTAACATACAGAAGCAGGTAAGCTCCCAGATGCTTTAGACATTTTACGTCGAAAAATATCTATCCTTCATCTATGAACTGATTTTTTGGAAGGGCCTGTTTAAAACACTATTAAAAGAAAGGAGAAAAGAGGCAACATCTGGCAGCGTATTTATGTGGTTAAGTACCCTCCTTTCAACTAACAATTTGTTTTCTTCCTCATCTTCTGTAGCTACAAAATAAAGAGGCTGAAGTTTTAGCAAACAGAGAAAGTTCATTCACAGAGGCACCGACCACACCTAAGGTACATGCAGAATGGATAACTACCCTTTTTTCTCTCTGTTCTGTGTGGAAGACATCTGATGTGATAAATCATCTGTACTAAATTCCACAAAAGAAGTACCATGACAAGCTTTTTATAAATGCAAAAGGCAACTCGTGAATAGAAGTACTTATATTATAGGGCTTGCTGAAGTCTTAACAAAGCGGTGCAAAGCGATACTAACAGAAGTTTAATTGTACAATATCCAAAGACTAAGATGTGTGTGATAATCCATCATATATATTAACTACTCCCTCCGTCCCGAAAAACACGTCGCAGGCATAGATCATTGCCAATTTTATAAAAAAGCCCTCGTAGTTTCAAAACAATCACAAACAAGTCCCTCCACCCCCGTCGTCTTCCTCCGCCGTCGCCCGTGCGTCTCCAGGGGCCGGCGCCGCCAAGCTGCGTGATTGCCGCCCACCAGGAAGTGTTCCGCCTCCGTCACCACGTACCTTCAACGCTGCCGCCGTCGCCAAGTACTTGCTCCGCCGCCGCCGCCCAGACCTGCGCCGCCGCGATCCCCTCCCGCGGCGATTACCTGCGGGTGTCGCTGGAATTTGCCACCACGATCTGGTGGAGCAGGAGCTCCCTCTCATCGTACTCGAGCTCCCGCGAGTCCTCCTCGTGCTCCCGCGAGTCCAGAGCCGGCCTCCACGATCCGTCGTGGACAGCAGCTCGCACGCGTCCTCCGTGGTCTCCCGTGAGTCCCCGTCGAGCTCCCACGCGCCGCCGTGGTGCTCCTTCTCTGCCTGCGTGCCCGCCTGTGGTGCTAGCCCGTGCTGCTGCATCTTGTTTCTCCTCTGTTTCTCCCCTGCCGCCGGTGGAGCTCCCGTGCTGCTCCTGCTCCTCTTCCCGTGTTGATGCTACTGCTCCTCTGCCTGTGCTGCTGTTGCTGATTCGTGTTGATGCTACTGCTCCTCTGTTGTTGCTGTTGACTGCCGCCGTGACTGCTGCTGCTGGTGCTATTTGCCCTCTGAAGAAGGTACTCCATCAGAGTACTGCTAGCTTAAGAAGGTACACCATCAGATGAAGTGTTTGTTTCCTTTGTGCATGGTTCTTTCCAAAATGTGGGAAAAACTAACTGAAAAAAGCACGCATGAGCAAAAATATGAGAGCACATACAGAAAAATTGCACATTTCCATGTCTTACAGATACCGCCATTGGAGCTGAATTAATCGAACTGAGCAAGTTTCCTGTATGAGCAAAAATACTAAGCATTCCACCTTACGGCTCACAGCCAATTTGATAATGCATGCGTGGAAATAAACACTTCTGACAGATTACTTAAACACACAACAGCGTCTGAATTAGGATGCATGACTAAACATCTCACCAGGTAAATGTTCAGTAGCTAAATGTGTTGTAGTTTTGGAGATGGCTGTACTTTTAATGAGGTAAAATGTTCCTATTTAGACAATAATAACACTACAAAGTAGCTAGATGATCTCGCCTACTGGTAAATGCATGCTTATATTTTTCTTAAATAGAAAAGAACAGATTAGATAGAACAAATAGAGCAGTTGTTATCATACCATCTCTTCAGTTCTTTACTGCAGCCAATTGATTGGAATGTGCTGTAGTTTCAGTTAACTGACAACAACAATTCTGCAAAAAAAAAAAAAGTATCCTTTTCTCTCTGATTTCATTGTAAGTTTGGACCGCTAGTTTTTGTTTCTGCAACCCTTACGGCCGGGGGGCCTAAAACCCATTGTAACACACTTGTAACTGTTATGTTGTGAGTAATACAAAGTCAGTGGGAGCCTCTCCCACTGTCACTAATTCCTAAAAAAAACAATTCTGCAAAAATAGTGTTTACTGAATTCTTTGTGTTGCCGCCAGAGCTCATGTTCCTAAGGAAGGAAGAAGGTAAAATTCAGTTAAAATGTCAGGTTTCAGTTAATCTATACTCCAAACTGTTAACCAAAAAGAGACCCTTGTATGGAGTTAACTGAACCAAATTTCAAGCTGAGACTAGTTCACTGAAACCTGGGCACACCATTTAAAATGATTTGTCAATTAAACAACTTTTAAAGAAAAGTTACAGTAGACCAGGACTCAAGTTGAGACTAGTTCACTGAAAAGAAAGGAAAATGCACAAGATCAATACTCAAGCTGAGACTAGTTTCTGATTTACTCATGATTGAAAATGTCTAAGTGCTTTGGTTTACAACTAATTAGGAGGCCCACACTACTATCCTGGAAGATGTAGCTATTACTCATTTCACAGTAGGTTGACAATATGCAAATGATTTCCTAGGAGTTTCAGACCTGCTATGTGTGTCTGAATACATGTGTGTCTGAATCATGTGTCCAAGTCAGTCACAAGCACAAGCAGGTCATGTGTATTAAGTGTGCACTGAATCATGTGTTTACTGAATTTTAAACTTGCTAGCAATAAGCTTGCATTACACTTTATAGTCAGATCAGGAGCCAAGCTCTAAAACTGGACTTTTAACTGAATTTTAAACTGAGTTTTTACTCCAAAATAAGAGTACCATGCCTGCTTAACTGAATTTTTAACATAATCTCTAAGTGTAGGAGTACTGAATTTTTACAGTAGATTTACACTGATTTTCCAACTCAAGCAGTATCCATTCACTTATTTTGATTTTCCAACTCAATTTTACCATGCCTGCTTAACTGAATTTTTAACATAATCTCTCTCTTGGCCTAGGAGTACTGAATTTTTGAATCAATTTCTACACAACAATACTGAATTGAGGAAAAGAATGAGAGGAGCCCAACATTTTTACTCACATTGTGGAGTAACTTTCACTCACATTCACTAAAATTCACAAGTTGACAACACACTTTACAAAAGCACATCTCAGTTTACAGGAGTACATCTCACATTCACTAAAATTCAGTAGACAAAGAATAAGTGGTTCAGAGAATACGCACATTCAGTAAAGATGAAGTAGAGAAGAGAGGTTCATACCCAGGTTGTAGGCGTTGGTGACAGAGATGGCCCAGGCTGAAGATTAAGTAAACAAGATTGCATGGAGAAGACGCACAAATCTGCGCTGCGTGTGCGTTGCTGCTCTCCTGACCTGCACAAATTGGGAACAACACCATCTTGAGCTTCTAGGAAGCGACAATTTGGAGGATTCTGCGTGCTCCTGCTCCTGCACGAACTGAACCCAACCGAACCTGGAAGGACGAGAGCAGAGGAGGTGGCGGTGCGGTGGATGAGGAACTTGCTCTCCTCGACGATTTGGTCGGCGATTTGGTGAGGAAGATCTCGTCGTCGCTGAACCACGCCGTCCCCCGAGCAGAAGCTCGCGCCGTCGAGGTTGACATCGCCGTTGGGAGCCAGCAGGGCATCTCATCGTCCGCCGCGGTGGCGTTGGCGGAGCAGGAGGCAGCTGCGGCGAGGGAGCGGGGGAGCAGGGGATTTCCCCCCTGCCGCGGTGTCGTAGGCGTGGGTCTTCCACCACAGAAACAACAAAGAAGCCACCGCCGTTGTATTCCTAGTGGAGCTGTCTCGTCGCCGCCGCCGTCGTCTTCCACGCTCGCAAATCCTACGCCTCCAGGCCTCATCGACCTTTAGATTGTTGGTGGTGGTCAGGATCCAGCGCCTGCGGGCTCATTGACGCCGGTTCCTACGCAGCCGGAGCAGAGCGTGGCAGTAGCTGGGAAAATCGAAGATTTTTATGAGGAAAGGGGGGAGCTTGGGGAGGCAGGTGAGCGGCAGCTGCGGCGGCAGAGCAGGAGGAAGCTGCGGTGAGGGAGCGGGGGAGCAGGGGAGCCGCGACGGTGGGGAGCAGGGCAGCTCCGGTGGGGGAGCGGGGAACCGACGGCGGCCGGGAGCAGCTCAGCTGGGGATTCTGTCGGAGGAGGACGACGAGGAGTGCGGGTTTGGTCGGGAGAAACTGGAGGTTTTTTTTGAAAAATTGCCCTCGCGACATGTTTTTCGGGACGGAGGGAGTACTATGTAGGTACCATGTAGCTAGTGGAAAGTTCTGGCAGAGATAGAAGGGGAATTCTTATCATTTCTTTAATAATTTTGCTGCCGGTGCCAAATGCCAATGCCCTGCCAAACATTAATTGCTTTTAGCTAATAATAACATTTCGGTGTTTATTTTTGCAGCGTTCTAATAGAGATATTGATCGACCCTTTGTCCCTGATATGGCTGGGTTTGGAGGTAATTTAAGGCAGACCATTTCATCTTACACTCTTCTGTTCTCTTGGAACTGATGACGGGTTATATGTCTGTAAATATTTTGCATGTTACTTCAGGTGAGAGAGCAGTCAAACGGGACCACAAGAGGAAGGTTTGTTTTTTCTTTCATTTTCTCCTTGATGTTTATACTTTGTTTTATTTTTTCTTTGGTATGTGGTATATGTCGTCTTTGATGCAGCATGTATCTTTAGCGTCTCGACTTTGTACGCACGTGGGCAAGATCTAGTCTGAGCGTATACAGTAACTTTAATGATCTACTGATGCCGTAGTTTTGTTTTACTATAGTTACGTGCAAGGCTTGGTAGGACGCATAGGCAGGTAGTAATATCTTGAATTGGCTTTATCAGAACCTGCTGGTACACAAAATGAAGTGAATAAGTATGTTAGGTCTTCCATTATTAAGGTGGAGGCCATAACTTAGTTTTGATCATCATTTTGTTTGCAATCAATGCAATCAATAATTAGTGTTGAATTTTTACAATGTTGCATCCCTGGTGCACTGCGGGTTCCTTTGATTATCTACATTTTGATCAGTCCAGATTTCAGTAGGAAACGAGGGACCTCATCTTTTTTTACGTGTATAAAGATCTACTCCCTCCGTCCCATAATGGAAGACGTTTTTTAACACTACACTAGTATCAACAAACATCTTACATTATGGGACGGAGGGAGTATATGTTATAGGTGGCTTCAGTTTGCCCCTTACATCTTACATTTGTCATCTGTGACTGATAAAAATCGTCCATTCGTTCTTGCTAGGCCACTGGAAGATTTGATGCACCCCCCTCACCAACCCAGGGCAAGAGGCCTCGGAAGATGAAGGCGTCTGATTGATAGTCGGACACAACATATAACATCGGGATGTAGCCAAATAACCAGAGCCGGCCCTGGGCCAGGGCAAGAAGGACGTGGCCAAGGAAAATAGGACTAGTCTTCTGTACACTAGGTTAGCCGTTCGCCACCTGTTTTGTAAAATGGAATTAATGGTGGTTTTAACCTTGTTGTTGATTGTGGAAATGAACTCTGTTTTGTGCAAAGCAATGCGCACGACGATTCAGAGCAGATCAAGAGTTGGAACTGGATTCCAGAAATGCTTTGGGCACCCATATTATCGAATTCATTAAGTTCAAAGTTGCTCCTCGCCGTGGGGATGATCCCCGTGCGAAGATAAGCTTTTGAACTTCTTTAAATAACAAAGTTCTACGGACATACTAGCATTGAGATCCACCCAACAGGCTCAAAGTTACTCAGGTGGACAATGCCCATAATTTTTTTGTGGAAGTTTATAGTCTGAACATGGGGTTGAGCATCTAAATACTGAAATTTCACCAAATCCTACATGGGACGTACTCGTACAGTTCAGGCTGCCGATCAGCTCAAAGTTGCTTCTTGACATATTCAAATTCTAAACAGAGAAATTCTTATAATGTATACCTTACATTTCCATGACACGCAAACACAAACATTGGAATTATAGTCTTTTAGAAACTAACTCAAATCTTAGACAGACGTGGTGCGAACGGACTTTTTCTTTCGCTTATAATGGAAAAATTGTCGTGGTTAGCCAAATCTTAGATTTGGTGCGATCAGAGTATAGATGTACAAAAAAGACATTGCAAAAAAAAAAAAACACTAAACTGCTGCCAGAACATTGTACCCAATAACACTGTCCTATATTGATCTCCATTATATGCATATGAAACGCCCGGCAGCCCAGCAGAACTTTGACAATGGTTACACCAACTGTTATGCAAGAACTTTTAATATTGGTTAATAATGAATAGAAGTTGGGACTTGCTCAATTGGAATGTGAGAGGTATTAATTCTCAGGAAAGATTGGATGACTTGAGAGAGAAAAATGAGGAGAGTAACCATAAAAGTATATGCATTCAAGAAACCAAACGGGAACTGTTTGACATCTCATATCTAAGAAAATTCTCTCCAAGAAGGTTCAACCAGTTTGCTTATGCTCCATCCATTGGCAGCTCTAGGGTATTATCACTATATGGAATGACAATCCATTTAATAGCATTATCATCAGGTAGAACTACTATCAACTTACAGTCAATCTGGTATGTACCTTATCTGGTAAAATTTTCTACATCACTAATGTATATGGACCTTGCCAGAATGATGACAGAGCATGTTTTATTAACTGGTTGAATAATGTGGACGCTACAACCAACCTAATTAGAAGCCCCGCTGACAGGAGCAGGCCTGGTGGTGATGCAAACAACATGTTACTTCTCAATAGTGCCATTCAAGCACTTGATCTTGTGGAAATCCCACTAAAAAGCATAAGTTACACATGGAGCAATATGCAAGACAATTCATTGTTGGAAAAACTTGACTGGATATTTACTTCTGCAAATTGGACTATTTCGCTCCCAAATACTATTGCTCTCTCAATGGCTAGAATTACATCAGGCCACAACCCTATGCATTGATCCTTTAGTGATCCAGAAATGAAGAATAAAGGATTCTCGCCTTTTTTCCCGAGAGGCGACCCTATGTTATTGAACCCATGAGAGGACGGTGCCCTAAGCTAAGGTCTCAGCAAGCTTTTGCTAGAGAATTAAATTCCAGCTTTTGACCGGATCATAAATCAACCCGACGCTAAAAACACTTATAATGAAAATAGTCATGTGTATGAGAACTTATGCTTACAACCATATCTTTGTGTCAGGGTCATCCTGATCTTAATTGTGCTCTTAAGGTCATCAATCTGTTGGGAAACGTTGCATGAAAAAACAAAAAAAAAATCTACGCACACGCAATGATCTATCTATGGAGATGCATAGCAACGAGGGGGAGAGTGTGTCTACGTACCCTCGTAGACCGTAAGCGGAAGCGTTTCACAACGCGATTGATATAGTCGAACTTTCTTCGTGATCAACCGTTCGAGTACCGAACGTACGACACCTCCGAGTTCTGCACACGTTCAGCTCGGTGACTTCCCTCGCCTTCTTGATAAAGCAAGACGTCGAGGTAGTAGACGAGTTTCGTCAGCACAATAGCGTGGTGACAGTGATGGTGAAGTGATCTCCGTAGGGCTTCACCTAAGCACTACAAAAATATGACCGGGGAAGTAAACGGTGGAGGGGTCGCCGCACACAGCTAGACAATTGTCTCGTGTGTGCTAGCCCCCCCCACATATATAGGTGGGAGAGGGAGGGAAGAGGCCAGGAGGCGCCCTAGGTAGGACCGAATCCTACTTGGGCTCCTCCCAAGCCGCCCCCCCGCCATATATATCGGAGGGGGAAGGAAAGAGGGAGGAGGAGGAAGGAAGGGGGAATCCTATTCCCTTTCTTTCCTTTCCTCCATCCCCTTTCCTTCCCCACCTTGGCCGGCCCATATGGGGGGCGCACCAGCCCCTTGTGGCTGGTGTGTTTCCCCTCTTGGCCCATAAGGCCCATATCTTTTGCCGGGGGTACCCGGAACCCCTTCCAGTGACCCGATATGTACATGGTACCCTCCGGAACACTTCTAGTGTCCGAATACCATCGTCCTATATATCAATCTTTACCTCTCGACCATTTTGAGACTCCTCGTCATGCCCGTGATGTCAAATGGGACTCCGAACCAAATCACATAACTCATATAATACTATATCGCCATCGAACGTTAAGCGTGCAGACCCTACGGGCTCGAGAACTATGTAGACATGACCGAGACACCTCTCCGGTCAAACCAATAGCGGAACCTGGATGCTCGTATTGGCTCCTACATATTCTACGAAGATCTTTATCGGTCGAACCGTTATGACAACATACGTAATTCCCCTTGTCCATCGGTATGTTACTTGCCCGAGATTCGATCGTCGGTATCTTCATACCTAATTCAATCTCGTTACCGGCAAGTCTCTTTACTCATTCCATAATACATCACCTCGTGACTAACTCCTTAGTCGTTTGCTTGCAAGCTTATGATGTGTATTACTGAGAGGGCCTAGAGATACCTCTCCAATACTCGGAGTGACAAATCCTAATCTCGATCTATGCCAACTCAACAAAACACCTTCGGAGATACATATAGAGCATCTTTATAATCACCCAGTTATGTTGTGACGTTTGATAGCACATAAGGCATTCCTCTGGTATCCGGGAGTTGCATAATCTCATAGTCGAAGGAATATGTATTTGACATGAAGAAAGCAATAGCAATGAAACTGAACAATCATTATGCTAAGCTAGCGGATGGGTCTTGTCCATCACATCATTCTCCTAATGATGTGATCCCGTTATCAAATGACAACTCATGTCCATGGCTAGGAAACCTTAACCATCTTTGATCAACGAGCTAGTCTAATAGAGGCTCACTAGGGACACATTGTTTGTTTATGTATTCACACATGTATTAAGGTTTCCGATCAATACAATTCTAGCATGAATAATAAATCTTTATCATGAATAAGGAAATATAAAATAACAACTTTATTATTGCCTCCAGGGCATAGTAGCTTCAGTCTCCCACTTGCACTAGAGTCAATAATCTAGTTCACATCGTCATGTGATTAACATCCATAGTTCACATCACCATCTGACCAATACCCAAAGAGTTTACTAGAGTCAATAATCTAGTTCACATCGCTATGTGATTAACACCCAAAGAGTACTAAGGTGTGATCATGTTTTGCTTGTGAGAGAGGTTTAGTCAACGGGTCTGCCACATTCAGATCCGTATGTATTTCGCAAATTTCTATGTCTATAATGCTCTACATGGAGCTACTCTAGCTAATTGCTCCCACTTTAAATATGTATCCAGATTGAGACTCAGAGTCATCTGGATCGGTGTAAAAGGTTGCATCGACGTAACTCTTTACGACGAACTCTTTATCACCTCCATAACCGAGAAATATTTCCTTAGTCCTCTAAGGATAATTTGGATCACTGTCTAGTGATCTACTCCTGGATCACTATTGTACCCCCTTGCCAAACTCATCGGCAAGGCACACAACATGTCTGGTACACAACATGGCATACTTTATAGAATCTATGGCTGAGGGCCTGAGGCATAGGGGATGACTTTCATTCTCTCTATATATTCTGTCGTGGTCGGGCTTTGAGTCTTACTCAACTTCACACCTTGCAACACAGACAAGAACCCTTTCTTTGACTGACCCATTTTGAACCTTTTCAAAACTTTGTCAAGGTATGTGCTTTATGAAAGTCCTATTAAGCGTTTTGATTTATCCTTGATGCTCAATATATAAGTAGCTTCACCGAGGTCTTTCATTGAAAAACCCCTTTACAAGTATCCTTTTATGCTATCCAGAAATTCTATATCATTTCCAATCAACAATATGTCATCCACATATAACATCAAAAATGCTACAGAGCTCCCACTCACTTTCTTGTAAATGCAGGCTTCACCGTAAGTCTGTATAAACCATATGCTTTGATCACCTTATCAAAGCGTATATTCCAACTTTGAGAAGCTTGCACCAATCCATAGATCGATTGATGGAGCTTGCACACTCTGTCAGCACTTTTAGGATCGACAAAACCTTCTGGTTGCATCATATACAACTCTTCTTTAAGAAATCCATTAAGGAATGCAGTTTTGACGTCCATTTGCCAGATTTCATAATCATAAAATGTGGCAATTGCTAACATGATTCAGATAGACTCAAGCATCGCTATGGGTGAGAAAGTCTCATCATAGTCAACCCCTTGAACTTGTCGAAGACCTTTTGCGACAAGTTGAGCTTTATAGACAGTAACATTACCATCAGAGTCAGTCTTCTTCTGGAAGATCCATTATTCTCTATGGCTTGCCGATCATCGGGCAAATCCACCAAACTCCATACTTTGTTCTCATACATGGATCCTATC